GTTGGGCTGCGGGGAGCGTGGGCGCGATGCCGTGTTCGTGTGTCCCGGGTGGGCGCCGGGGGAGGGGCCCGGAGCGGGGGCTCTGCGTGGGAGGTCATTTTTTTTATTTCATGTTTAGCTTGAGCTGAAGGGAGGGGTGAAATTACTGCCTTTTCCTCATGGGACTGAAAACATTTATATAAATGTTCCATAACATGAATGTCAATAACAAAATGTCGTGTTTCTGAACCCATGCAAGAAAAATGATCTTAAACAATGCTTGTGAGGGTTTGAGGTGGGGGTAAAAGCTCTCTTTCATCTCATTACCGTGTGGTTAGAGGACTTCTCTATGGTATGGTGCAAATTTTTCTCTATTTAAAGGGAATTTTATTCCCTTTACAAGGAGGAGCCTTTATATACACATAAAATAAGAAGACATATTATAGGACTTCTTATTAGAGACTGTTCTTGGGTAAATGCTTTCACATCTTCCTTACTCTGTTCTGATCCATGTAAGTAGGCATTCATTAAGTTATGAACTGGAGTCTGCATGTCTCAGTTGTGTTTCCTAATACAAATCTGAGCATCAGTTTTGTTCTGCTCAGTAACTGCACAAGTATTTTACATAAAACGGAACTCTTTCACCAGGGGAAGTATTTACTGTGCTTTGAAAATCTGCCATGACTTTGTTAGGCAACTTCCCTGGGAATCTGACAGACCTCTGTTCAAATTTATTCCACTTGATTCAGGGTGGGTATTTGGTTCAAAGTCAGTGGCCTGTCCACAAGACTGTAGGCTGTTCTGGCATAAATCTGATTTACAGTGGGATTCTTAAATACCCATTGTGTAATAGAGAATGAGCTCTTCTTTTGAGGTGTTTCTATATATCTAAAAATTATTTGGTGTTTTTATGAATAGCTCTGAGGCAATAAAATTATTTCCTGAAAATGTACTGTTGACAAAATCTTTTCTATATATTTGTATGGCAGTAGAATCTATGGACAAGAAGGCGGCTACGTAGGTAGAAGGGAATGACAGTATGAAGCAAAAGTTTGTGTTGGGGTGTGAGGGCTGTAGGTGACTAATAGATGTGTGGAGCGAAAGAGCTGTATATGGAAAAATGTCTTTGTGCATGGAAGGAGACTGAATCTGTATGTGTGAACACTTCGTGAGAATAAGTACAATGTTTATGTCAGGATCTAGTGTGGGATAACTGGATGACATCTGCCACTCTATTTGTTAAAGCTGTTTAATAATCTGCATAATAACTAATGCTATGTATATTTGTAATGTTTTGTAGCCCAGAATGATTAATCCATTCTGTATCATATCAGATAAAGTAAACGATGCAACATTAAAAACGTCTAAAAGTTGAGAAACTTAAAAGTCCAAAGAGTTTTAACTCAGTTGTGTTGTAAATTGCTGGTATGTTTGATAGACAATTTGCCTTGGTAAGGTGTGCTACAGAGGGTTTTTTCCAGAAAAAAAAAAGGGAAAAGTTTTGTGCTTTACTTAGAAATGTTGTGATTCTTCTACATTATGGTAATCAGGAGAGAATGGTATTGTTAATGTTGGGTTTAACTTTCCCTGATACCAGGGAAGCACTCCGAATGCTTAGCAGCTTTGGATAATTTACTGCCTTGTTAATAGAGTCATTGGAGAATGTAAGTGCAGTACGTGCCAGCTTTGACAAAGATTGATGTTTACACTCTATTTGTACGTTGCTGAATTTCTAAACTGTTGATGAATTATGTCTCTTTTTTTCTCCCTTTCTCAGATACTACGCGTACCTTCAGCAAGCTCAAGCTTTTTACACCTTTCCATTCCATCAAATGATGACTGCAACTCCTAACGTGGAAACCATGAGTGAGCAGCCGACTCTAGAGGGCATTCCAGAGCCAAACATTGCTCAGGAGCCTCCAAAAGGTAGTTTGACTGGGCTGTGCTAAGTCAGCTAAAATCTTAGTAGTGGATTGGGCAACAAAATTACTGATCTTAAGCTGCTTCTTTGGACCTACTGGATTTTCCGATGCTCTTTGAGGAAGCATTGATAATTGTATTCTTTAAGTAATGTTTGTTACCAGACAATTAAAAAGATGAGAAGTAAACCCAGGTGATAGTATTCACATTGTTCAATCTCACAAAATTATCTTGGTGCAGGAAAAGCAGATTTTTGTTTCACTAGAGAAAGGTATCATTTTTAGCTGATTTCATGGTTTCTAATATTAAGTTAGAGAAGTTTTCCTTTTTCAGTCTAATTTTTTTTTTCAATTTCTGCAAGGGAAGTACATTATAATACTGTTTATTTTAATTTTTCGTTTTTTAAATTGTGTTTTAGTGTGTTGTAGTAATCACAGATCCTTAGTTTATATACATGAAGGATTGTTTGTTTTTAGTGAGGCTGTAGTGGTTTAACCAAGCCAGCCACACAGCTGCTCGCTCACTCACCCTCCCCTACCTCCAGGTAATGGGGAAGAGAATTAAAGGGGAAAAGGGAAGGAGACTTGTGAGTTCGGATAAGAACAATTTCTTAATAATAATATAACATTAAAATTAATGATGATGAAATAATACTACTATACAAATATGTATATAAAAATAATAATATATACAAACAAGTGATGCACAGTGTAATTCCTCACCACCCAGTGACCAACACCTGTCCATCCTGGCAAGCGATCCCAAAATAGATAAGTCCCAACACTACAATCGCAGACGAGTTGAGAGGCCCAGAGAGAGGGGGGGCGGGGGGGCAGGGAAGCCTTGAGAGACCATGAGACCTTGAGAATCAGAGAGAGAGAGCGCACCCCCAGAAGAGTGAGAGCAAACTTCCTGGTCAGCCCTCATCTATATACTGGGCATGACGTTGCATGATAATGGAATACTCCATTGGCCAATTTGATCCTCACTAAGTCTAAGTTCAAATCATAAGGGGAGTTGTGGGCCCTTTGTCCCGGCCATGCTCCCCACCTCAGCCCATTGTACTCCTGCACACTGGCAAAACGCAGGAAACTGAAAGGTCCTTGATGTCTCAGTACTAACTATAAACATCAGTGCGCTATCAACATTATTCTCATAACAAATCCCAGACTAAATCCAAAACATACAGCTTTTCTAACTGCTGAAAAGAAAAACTGTCCCAGTCAAAACCAGGACAGAGGCTTATTTTAAAAAGTACAAACAATGCTTGAAAAGTCTCCTGTATGTGACTAAAGTTTTGTACTTTATGCACTTGTACATTGCCTTTCTTTTCCCCTCCTAGGATTTTGTACACTCAGGCTTTATACTAACCATACCAAGGAGAGATCCCTCGTTCTGTTACTCTTATGCTTGCTCTTTACCGCATGAAAGCAGAGATTTCTGCCACGCTTAAATTCTGATTCTATAGCAAATATTCACACACTCAGTTTCATCTTGCTTTTAGTGTATAGAGCTATGTCTGTACCACGGTAACCCATCAGCCAGTCTGTGCAATGACGTCACTTGTTTAAGTGCATCCTTTTATAAGCTTCAGCTTTTTCAGTTGTAATGTCTGGCCAGATGAAATCATAGGAAGAAAACCTCCAGTTTAGGACAGTTGCAACTGCTCTGTTCATTCACTGTATTATTCACTACATTTAGGATGCATCTTAAGTGCCATATAGTTAGGCTTCTTTTGCAGCTTTATTATTATAGAACATGACATCACCGTGAGCATGCTGTTTGACTGCACTTTGGAGTAATTTTAGACAACCATAATTTTCTGTTATGAGGCTGGTCCCTAATATTTTTGCAAGAATTGGAGGTTAGTCAGGCCTTCAAAGGCAGGGCTTAAAGATTTACCAAATGTGTGTGAAATCCACAGTATCATATATGAAAGGCAATGATTTGCAGCCCAACTGCCAGCTGTGATGAAAAAAGTAAAATTTTTAGGATTGCCTGAAAAGCTGCCCTGGCGTTGTTCATCTTTCATGGCTGTGTCTGGTTGGTAGGTACTTGATCAACATGAGAGTTAGAACATTGTCCTGCTTCGTTTGAAACTCAGAGCAGTCAGAGTGCCTGTGGCATTTTGCCATCACATGGAGAACCTCCTAGATCTTCCAGGGGTTGGAGGAGAGAACAGCTGCTTGTGTGCCTCACCAAGTCTGTGTCTTTCTAGTCTTTTCTTCATTGCAACCAGACTGTAGCTTGAGTACTGTTACTAAGAGCTTTCCTAGGCAGTTGCTCTGATGACGCAGTGGGAATTCCACATGACTTTTGTCCTGTTGTAAGAAAGCTGAGTGCAAACAAAAACAGCCCCAAAAATGTTTGCAGACTTAGAGCAGTGCCCTGGTATCCACTGCGTTTATTTCTTATCTGAGGGAGAGTTTCATGTAGAAATTTTGAAAATAAGACGAAGTCTCAATTTTAAAGTAATAGATTACCTCGGCTCTTTGCTGGTTGGTACCAAATGTGATTTTATACTTCTGAAGTTGTGTTCTGCAACTTGATGTTTTTAACGAACAAGGATAGAGAGCAATCTCTGGGTGGTCATGTCATGACTAGTACCTGTGCTGATGGCATCTCAAAGTTTTAGGGGCAGGAAGATGAGGAATTTTCAAACAACTGAACAGTGGCTTTATGTTTGGATTTTGTAAATAAAAAATAATGTTTGGTGTCACTTATTCAAATTGAGATCCTAAAGTTCTCATACAGTACCTTGCTGTGTGATGCACTGGACAGTATCCTGTAGACAACAGATTGTGAATAGCTTATGCAGTGTTCAGTCGATGTGTTCGTGTTCCTGACAAGCTTATCCCTTACGCTGTAGGTAATCTTTGAGACCTCTTGCTTCTGATTTGCTCTTCATTTCCTTCAATATGTTATGTAATGTGTGAGAATCAACTTTCATATCTAGAAGCTGAAGTGTGGGCAGTAGACTAGAACTTAACTGTCACATTCCTTGGGACCTAAGCTTTGCTGTTCTGGCATGTCCTCCAAAAGAAATGAAACTGTTTCCAAAGGTTTGTTGCATACAGCATGTAAACAACATAAGCATGTAAACAACATAACCTAGTCATGAGGTTATTCTTTGTTTGTATCCTAAGTCAGCACAGTTGCCTTTGAAGAGACACCCAAGATAGCTCTGTGTTGAGCCTGCAAAACAGATTTATCCGATAATTGTTTGAATTCATGAATTTTGAAGGCAAATTTATCTGATTTATTTTTGTATCCATACATTTCGCTCACTCTTTTTGCATATCCACAATGCAACATTAGAAATGTACCAAAATGATGTTTGCTGTGTGTTTCAGAAGTTAAAAAAGGAGGAAGGAAAAGAAAAGCCAAAGCAACTGAGCCAAAGCAACCCAAAAAGCCTGCTGCTAAAAAAGAAAAATCAGCCAAGTCAAAAGGAAAACAAGAGAAGATCACAGATACTTTTAAAGTCAAAAGAAAAGTGGACCGTTTTAATGGTGTATCTGAAGCTGAACTTCTGACCAAGACTTTACCTGATATTTTGACCTTTGATCTGGACATTGTAATAGTAAGTAACAGTTAGAAGATGAGGGAGAAAAGGGAATAGTCTGTACTCACTGGTTATGATTTACATTCCTTCTGCTGACTTATCTGTATTGCTTATATGACAAGATCTTGCAAGATAAAGTGTGTAAACGGTTTCCTGTTTGTACAGCTACTTTGCACTTTCTGTTAAAAATCATAGTGACACAGTTCTAATTTCTGAGAAGTCTAATTACGTATAATGCGTGGTCAGCAGAGACCGTTACCTGACGCTTTCTTCACTGGAAGCGCTACACCAGAGGCTGTAAAACACGCTGCCAGCTGCTCTGTTGACATCGCACATCTAAATGAGACACGGTCAATTTCTTAAGCAGTGATGGAAGGTACTATGAATATAACTTAGTTTATTGACAGTAGCTTAAAGAGAGTTGAGTAAGCTTCTTTATTGTAACTTGATTAAATTCCTGACTAGCAAGCCATGCTCTTATCATTAAAATGAACCGGTATCTTGATTTGTAGATTGGCATAAACCCTGGCTTGATGGCAGCTTACAAAGGACATCATTACCCTGGACCTGGAAACCATTTTTGTATGTTTTTATTTTCCTATTCTATTTGTAGAATTTGCAGAACTTTTTTAGGACTGTGGCATTTTCATTAAACTCGTTTGGGTTTTGTTTTTTTCTTTTTTTTTTTTTTCTTGATGCAGAGAGAGATTTTGCTTTTAAACATCCAAGAGTGATTTAAATCCCATAACTACTTCTGTCAAATACCATACATAAAAAGGAATTGTCATGGTTTAACCTGACTGGCAACTGTCATGAAGCTGCTTGCTTGCCCTCCCCTCACCTCTGGGGAATGAGGAAGAGAATTAAAGGGGAAAAGGGAATGAGACTCATGAGTTGAGATAAAAACAATTTTAAAATATAAAATTAAGATTAATAATAATATAAAATAATAAATGAATATATATGTAATGATATATACAAACAAGTGATGCACAG